GTTACCATGCTTTTTTTACTTGATGAGGGAGCTCATTAGAGAACTCTGAAGTCCTCTCTGTCTTTGAGGAGGGAAGTTTACACATATGCTTTCTACAACTAAAGGTAGTTTCAAATGCCTGCCTAGCATTCCTTGGTTATAAAGCAGGGCCAAATGATGATACCGCAAGATCATCAAGAGCATGATGGTGCAAGACCTCCATCCTTCTGTCAGCACTTTTGATTGAATTCTGGAGCTAGGTTTTTTGATTTCTGTAAATAGTGTAATTGTGGTCAACCTGCCAAGGTCAGCGTACATAGTCTTAGCAAAGAAGACACTCCCCTGAGTTGCTTTTTCTTCAGTGAAGTGACTGTCTTCTAGGACAAATGCTAAGCCACATTACGCCTTTCCATCTTGGACACTCACAGAATTCTAATTCTCTGTCCTAAAGCTGCTCGGTGGCTATGTGCTGTCAACATTTCCTGGTTTGAAGAGAAATTATGCCCTTTCTTTTTTGATGAAGGAAAAGGAAAATGGGATACTAAAATAGATAATCTGGAGAAAAGGCTGCAGGGGTCATATAGACATGGTATTGAAAGCGCCCTAGCATGTTAAAGCAGATATACTTCACTAGGATGCTCAGATCAGTCAGAACGATTGCAAGGAACTTGGAAAGAGGGCAGTGCACTCTCTCTTTTTATATTGCCATAAGTGGAGTGGGGAAAGTTAGAGGTCTACCCCATGTATAGTACTAGAGTATTTGTTAGAAACAGTCTGGTAATACATATAGGCACATCCACGGTGTCAGTGTGTAGCTCACCTCAAAGAGTAAGTGTTAAGGGAATATAACTTGTTTTTCTAATTTAACAGAGGGATGATTTAACAAAGTGGACTGCCTGGCTGTCCAGGTAAACCTATCTATGTTCACTGATCAACAATTCTAACAAAATTCTCTTTGTATCAGTGGCTTCATGAAAAGTTGTACTCTTAAGCAGCTAACCAGGTTGAAGTAGCCACTTTGTATACCTGTACTAAAAACTACGCTATTGCATAAACATTCAGGAATGATGCTGAACTTGATAAAGAAAAAACAGAAATCAAAACCAGCTGTTGTGTGCTAAAAGACTGAAGACCTGAAGACTATCTCCAGATTATCTGTAAATATGGAAGCACTGCTGATTGGGAACAAACATAATGACACTCCGTGAAAGACAAGGTCAATATCATCATACTGAGTTACTAGAGATAGGTTAGCCACACTACTCTTGCCTTCCGTTAGTGTCTGATTGCTTGCCGTTCTGCCACTCAGAAGAGGGAACTGCAATGTTTAAGGCATGCATGCTGTGTGAGGGAAGAAAGTGAGCATTCTGTGTTATGCAAAAAATTCTGAAGCTTGAGTATTTGCAAGATATGCGTGTTCAGTGCGAATTCACCTGTACATAACCCAAGTTCAGTAGTCTTTTAATAACTTCCTTTCTTCTCTTACATATCAGAACATGAAAGTATTAATAATGTAGATTCTGGAAGTTAACTTCATGTTATAAAGTTGAATGAAATGTAAATTGAGGGGGGCAAAATACAAAATGGGGTTTTTGAAATTTTTTGGGGGGGGCTGCATACTTGATTTGTGAGTGAAATGTGATTTCACAAACAAATGGTGAAATGCAACTTACAGTGACTTTTTGTCACAGAATCACAGAATGGTTGAGGTTGAAAGGGACCCCTGGAGGTCATTTTGTCCAACCCCCCTGCTCAAACATAGTCACCGAGAGCCAGTTACACACAACCCTTCTGAATGTCTCCAAGGAGGGAAACTCCACCACCTCAGGTGGGCAGCCTGTGCCAGTGCTCAGTCACCCTCACAGTAAAAAAGTGTTTCCTGATGTTCAGAGGGAACCTCCTGTGTTTCCATCTGTGCCTGCTGCCTCTGGTCCTGTCACTGGGCACCACTGAAAAGAGCCTGGCTCCCCCTGCTTTGCACCCTCCCTTCAGGTATTTGCACACCTTGATAAGGTTCCCCTGAGCCTTCCCTTCCCTAGGTGGAACAGTCCCAGCTCTCTTAGTCTTTCCTCATCTGTTCCAGTCCCTTAATCATCTTTGTGGCCCTTTGCTGGGCTCTCTCCAGTATGTCCATGTCTCTCTTGTACTGGGGAGCCCAGGACGGGCCAATAAAGGAAACTGTTATTGGACGTAACATTCTTTGAAAATGGTTTTAAACCCAGATGTAATGCATAATAGTAAAGACTATTAGTGACTCCCTATAAAAGGCATATTTAACAATGACTAAGTTACATAAGTGCTCCTAGTGAAACTTCATACTATAAAAACTGTGTTCTGTAAGTAACAGCTAGATGTAGTTGGTGGGGCTTGTAATTTAATAAAACAGAGCATAAATGGAGGTCTCTAACAAAGAAGTATACAGATTTTGTGACTTCAACTGTCTGAAGTCAGGACTTTATACAGTATCTTGTGAAGGCAAATCTGTGTCAATTTGTAGTGAGTCAGAATGCTTTACTTTCCGACAGTTGGCTTTATTAATGTTCCAGGGAGTGCTGTACTTCTCTGAGCTTTTTTGTGTGGTTAAATAAGAAACTATAAATAGATTGTATCAGAGTGTTTTTTCTTAATGGTCACCCTGAAACAGTCATAAGCTGGTTCTAACAGGGCTTCTGGAATACGACGCTAGTATATGTAAGGAAAATCAGTGTTGATTATGAAGAAGATGCTTAGTCGGTCCATTTTTTTTTTCTCTCCTACCTAATGTTGAGTTCCAATTTACTACTTAATTTCTTGCTAAGAACTCCACTTGTTATAATCATCCGATTTCTTCTTCTTGGCTCTGTTCAGCCTTGAATTTGAGCAGTAGACCACTTCTAAACTGAAAAGGAAGCAAGAGCTAAAGGATATAAGTACTTAACCTATGTGGATTAGAAGTTGGGGTTTTTATAAACCTCATTACAAACATATCCCAGAGTGTTTTCAATTTATAAATGTCTGTTTGTGACTTCCAGTATGAGTTTTTCATATCGAAATTAAATTACAAGAAATTATTTTAAATGATACAATACCAATTCTTTAAACCTCCAAAATTAGTTTGGGGGTTTTAAACATTGAATTTTGCAAGGGACAAAAAAAAAAAAAAACCTTAAACATGAATTTAAGAAAGAAAACTAATTTTCAAATATTGTTTCAGAAATTCTCTTTCATATTAAAAGCTGAAATGATTGTAAAAGGTAAAAAATAAATATAATTGAAAATCAGAACCACCAATTATGTATAGTAAGGATTGTAATTGTTCCTCAAAAAAGCTACTACTAATAATTCTGTGTGTTTTGAAACATCTTCAGTGAGCCTTCTCAGCAGCAAAAGGCACCTGAGATCATAAGGGTTCTGCTGTACCACTGTATATGTTCATGTACAACTCCCCAGTCTGTTTCTTGTCACTGCAGTATCTTGTAGCCTAGCTTTATTACACAACATGGAGACAAAAAAGACATAATTATAATTTTAATCCATTTATTTTGATACATTAGCATTATAAATTGTTCTCATAAATCTCAGCTTGGCTGCATTATCTTTACTCTTTGGAGAGGTAGCAAGCGAAGAACAGTTTCATTTTGTATTTTTCACTCCCCTTCCTTTTCCTTCTTCCCCTTCTTCCCCCTTCCCTCCCTCCCAGCTGAAGGAAAAATGAACAGAGAGATATATAATAGCTTCAGATTGGCTGATGACAGGATGGAGGGCTAGGAATTTCTGAAACTTTTTTTTTTTGCTTTTTATCACACTATTCTTCTTCTAGATAACAGGTACTGGAAAAGATACTCAAAGAGAAACAAGAGTTGTGTCAAAAGAAAGTGGAATCATGAAAAGTTTATTATTTTATGGTTTCGTCTCACAAGTTAATATTTCAAGTTAATATTTGAACAAAATGAGGCCTATAACTATTTTGAACTCAGAATTTTACCTCCCCAAAACAGTCACAGTATATGTATTTTAATAAGTACAGTTTAATAATATGCTGTTGGACTGTTTCATTTTTATGCCTCAGGGTACCACTGAGCACTATTTCTACTTTTAGAAGCTTCCTCTCATTAGTGTAGTACATTCTCTTATATAGCACCTGTTTTAAACTCCAAATCTGAATCTACAAATGTAAAACCTGACTTTTGAAATATTTGCTTTTTTGAACACTCTTCTTTAAAGGACCTATCAGGATCTGTCCCCCAAATGCTAGAAGCTTGAAGGATAAGGGAGGAACAATGTTGCATGGCCCAAACACATGTGCTTTCGTCATTAGCAAGGTACAGCATGACCTCATGTTGACCTCAAAGGTAAATCGCTAACAGGGAACAATTATAAATGCCTGTGAAAGCAGCTTAGTTTTGAACATAATCAAGACAGTAACTTCAGTGTGTAGAATAAAATTAAATTTACAACTCTGTCTGTCTGTCTGCCTTTCTCTTTCTCTCTCTTGTCTCTCTCCAAGTCTCTTCTTGAGAGAATGTTGTGTTTTTTATCTATGTGTGTGTTTTGAAAGAAAATTACTTTTCTAGAGGTCATAATAAATTCCTAAATATGGGGAACCCAAAGGATCTTGTATCCAATATAGTCAAATTGTACATCTTAGAATGAAATAGTCTTTTTAATGGAAAGGTTTCATTTGCTGATTAGAGTATTGATATTGCAGCCTTCAGAATGCGTATCTGTATTACCTTGGGGAATCTTGTGTAGTTCTGAAAGGTATAGATCATTTAGACTTATGGGAAAGTTTTTTAAGTATCAATATGTTAATTTTTGTGTGCTTATCTTTGCCACACAAACCTATGACATTTTATTTTTTCATAGAAGACTAAATATTCTGTGGCGTTATGTGATGCATCTCTACGTATAATGGAATATGATTTAGCTAGCAGTTCTGAGCTATTTGGAGAAGAATTGCTGCCAGCATCTTGGAACTGTTAGCCATATCTGTCCCATATGATGTGTATAATACAGTTGTTTGACATGAATTTTATTTTCTTTTTTTGCTAGAATGAGAGAGCATATTCCTTTTGTGGAACAATAGAATACATGGCTCCAGATATTGTAAGAGGAGGAGATACAGGACATGATAAGGTACGTTCTGTTTAAGTTTATTACTGAAAAGGAATTCATTCTTTAGGCAACCCTGTTGTTCAGCTTGAGAGGTTTTTCTAAAATGTGATAGTGTCTTATTTAAACATGCCTTATTTCAGGTTGTCCTAAAATAGATTATTACCTATATTTAAAAACCACCAATATGATGTATTTTCAGTTTTTAATCTTAAGTAAAAGGCACATTTATAAAGGTGTTGAGGCTTATTTGTGTTCTATACAAAATTTGTTCTAAACATGCAGTGGGACAAAAAAACTTAGCTGACACTTCCTTTTAAACAGAAAAACCTGTTTAGCTCAGAGTGGAAAAATGACTGTTTTGTGGCTAATTCTGATACATTTTTTTAAATTGTACATCAGGGAAATCTGTTACCTTTCTTGAAGTATGGAGTAGGTTATTAATGTTGTTAAAGTTATAAATGTTCTCAGATTTTAAAAATTCTGTTTAGCTTGAGGCTTGAGTTTTATTATGAATTAAAGTGTCAGTAATTGATGGGAAAGATCAAGATAACTGTAATTCACAGATGATATTTGAAACAAACCACCCCACACACACACTCCCTGTCCTGGTTTCAGCTGGGATAGAGTTAATTTTCTTCCTAGTAGCAGGCATAGTGCTGTGTTTTGGATTTAGGATGAGAAGAATGTTGATAACACACTGATGTTTTTAATTGTTGCTAAGTGCTGCTTATGCCAGTCAAGGGCTTTTCAGCTTCCCATGCTCTGCCAGGTACACAAGAAACTGGGAGGGGGCACAGCCAGAATAGTTGATCCAAACTGACCAAAGGGCTATTCCATACCATATGACGTCACGCTCAGTATATAAACTGTGGAGGGTTGGCTGGGGAGCAGCGATCGCTGCTTGGGAACTGTCTGGGTATCGGTCGTCGGGTGGTGAGCAATTGCATTGTGCATCACTTGCTTTGTATATTATTATTGCTATTATCATTATTATTATTATTATCATTACTATTTTACTTTATTTCAATTATTAAACTGTTCTTGTCTCAACCCAGGAGTGTTTCTCACTCTTACTCTCTTCCGATTCTCTCCCCCATCCCACCGGGGTAGGGGGAGTGAGCGAGCAGCTGCATGGTGCTTAGTTGCTGGCTGGGGCTAAACCACGACATCCCCAAAAGAATTCTACAATATTCCTAGATAAATTTTTCCAGTTGCTCACTATACTGAGAAGTTTTGGAGAATATTTAATCTCTGAGTTTTTTTGCTGTAGACTGAGTTGACTTGTCTTTCTGTTGGGGGTCACAATGTAGTTATCACAGTTCCTCCTATAGCAGCCTTTTTAAGTACTGGAAAATGTTATGTCACCCTCCATCTCCTTTTTCTGGACTCAATCTGACTTTGCCTGAGAAGGTTCTTTCTTCTCCTTCTCTATGCATTCTGCTTCTCTTTTGGTCTGAGTTTGCCTGTATATTTCTTCAGGCAGGAAGCACTGTAGTGGGCGCAGTGTTTCAGCTAAGAGTTAGCAGTTTGAAGTACAGCAGAATGACTACCTCCCTGATTCTTCTATTAAACATAAAATAGAATGTGCTTTGTCTTTTCACTTAGTCATTGTCTCACACCTACTTTGTATTCCACTATAACCTCTGCATCTTTTTTTACCGTACTGCTTGCCTAGTCATTATTAAAAATGGAATTTTGCAAACTTATGAATTGAAGCTCTTCCCTGCAGTCTGTTTCTTAGTTTAGTCTTGCCAGTTCCAGAGCATCTCTGCAATGTGTCAGTCACTTTGAATTGTGATTCTGTCTTCTCAAGTGCTTGCAAATTCAATATCGTTGCTGATTTAAAGAGGAATCTCTGTTACCTTTGGTTCTGATACTTTCATTAAATGTAGTGCAGAGCCATACAGTATTCTCTAAGAAATAGCTTCACAGTTTGATGCCAAATGTTAGCTGATAAATAAGGGTGTTTTCTCAGTTACCTATATGATGGTAATTATTTATACCACACACTCTTTGCCTCACCATTGGCAATCTCATGTGATGCAGTGTTAGAAGGTTTTTAGTGTATTTCATGTTTACTATATATCTAGCAACTCAAAGATCTTATTTTAAACAAAAGGAAATGAGATTGCTTTGGTATGCTATGGTCTCATTAATCAGTGTTTTTGATTTGTAATATCTTCTAGATGGCTGTATTGTTTGTCTAAAAGATTTGCTCTAGTATTTCAGTATTTATTTTTTTAAAGTTTGATTTCTGATTCTGCAGATCCTCCTTTTCTTTTGGAAAGACACATGCCAAGGAAAAGTTCTTCTGGGATTTTCTCTGTTCCTTGTGTATTTGCAAAGTTAATTACTAACAGTACAGAGACTTCTCTAGCTAGTTCTTCTAGGCACTTTTGGCTGAATATATGAAACATCAGATTTTGTATATCTTGAAGCAAAAAACCTAAAATATTAGGCCAAATTGTCATCATTTCACTAATTGTCTTCCTGTATTGTATTAATGTTGTCAACATAACTAAAGCAGGACTTCATTTTCATTGATTTGCAAAATTCATGGAAGTAAAACTGAGAAGTTCAAACACCTATAGCTAAATAAATTTTGCTGAAATGACTAGACTGTTCCATTTTATTATTCATAGTAGCATCTTTTCTTTTGAAAGAGAGAAATATTTTGTAAGTTATGAGGCATCAGGCATATGAATAATATGATTAGTGTATGGGAAGCCAAAGATCACATGCGTTACTAGCGAATATAAGATAAAGTTCGATAGCATTTTCAGGTGACCTGTACTCTTAAATTGTGCTTTTTAAAAGTTCCTTAGTTTCATTCTCAAGCTCCTGAAAGTTCAAGGTTCCACTACTTCTTAGCAAGGCTTAGGTTTCTCTGTTATTTCGAGTACGTTTTAGAATTCTTATCACTTCACAATAGTAAAAGTAAAAATCAATTTGGGACGGAGGGGGAGAAGGAACTTTAATGGAAAGAGTTCAGCTTGAGAAATTAGTTGAAGAAGGTAAGTGGAGAGATTTCAAAATAAAATTAATTTATCACAGGAAATACCTCCTATCAGTACTGCAGTTGTTTATGCTTTATTGTATCCCAGTTTGCCTTTGTATTGATAGGTGGGCTTTTCCTTTGCTAGTTGCTTTTTGGGTGCATTGTTTTGTTCCTTCTTTTGTTAACTGTTTTACTTCAGTGTATCGTAACATATATAATTATTGTTGTTCTATAGGCTGTTGATTGGTGGAGTGTTGGTGTTCTTATGTATGAATTATTAACTGGAGCATCACCATTTACAGTTGATGGAGAGAAGAATTCCCAAGCAGAGATTTCTAGGTGAGATTCAAAACAGTGAAGTATACAAGCTTGTTCACAAAATGATGCTTATGCCATAATATATGTTTCATGAGAGTTCTAATCTAAAATTTAGGAAGCAAGTGCTACCAGGGTAACATTTTAGGTGCTCCAGTTCTGTTTAACAGAATGACATCTGGATGCAGATAGGTTTTATTAACCTCAGCAGGTTATTGAAATAATAGAACTGACCTTTACAAAAGACCTGTTTTGTTTAAACTGCAGTGGAACCACAGCTTTGTAGATATTCAGCCCTGTTGCATGTTTACTGTTGAAAAGGAAGTCAAATGAAATGTGAAATTATATGTAAATAGAATTATCACATTCAAAATCTTGATACGTAGTGAAACATGTATTTAGCTAGAGAGATTTTTGTCAGCTCTTGCTAGATCACTCCATCAGACTACAGGTTTAAAGTGTCGGGATGTACCCTACTCCTAGCTTTTTGCCACAGGTAATACTTATTTTATTAGTGTATAAAGTGAAACAAAGAATGTGGTCTTTTCTAGCCATACTTGCATATCTGAGAAGAAATTAATATGATACTTACGGAAGTGAAATAACCTATACCATTCTTATATTTTACATGTAAACTTTTCCTGACTATCAGCTGTGTTACGTTGAGTAATCTCAACACTTTAAAGGTTTGTTTTCAGTACCCATGTAAAAGCATTGGAGCATTTTAAAAAGGCAAAGCGATAAGCTTGCCCAAACCACATTACTGAAATCTCCCCCCAAAATTAGCATTTCCTATTACTGGATTTCTCTTGGAGCGGGGAGCTGAGGACTTAAATTGCACAAATTAGTGATTGCTGTCAAGATCAGTTTGTAAGTCGAGTCTCCGAACTAAGAATAGTCTTGCTCCTATTGGTATGTATTACTATCGTTCTGACCCTCACCTGAAGTCACTTGATATTTAAGGTTATATTGGGCAACAGAACATGCATCAATTATTTAGACAATTTATTGTACTTCTGTTACAAATTCAGGCAATTTCTTGGAAGCTTGAAACCTATTTATTGGTTTCTAGGTCTCTACCAGAACAGGAAACTTAGAGGGCCACTAGAAAAAAAAAAAAGGGGGGGGGAAAAAGAATGGGGGGGGGGGGGGATGTGCGTGAAATCCATTAACAAAACAAAATTCCAGACTTCACCCTCTTGGTCACTATGATGGAATTAAATAGGTCAGAAAGAGTTAAGTTTTAAGGTTAGAAATTTTGTTGATTACTTGCTTATGTCATGTCCGAATTGGTAATTTTGACTCCCAAGATTTACTAAATGGAACTCTGAAGGAGTCACAAATTTTTTTAGAGGGGACCTTGACCTGAATTTTACAGATACAGATTTTCCCAAAAACTTTTTAGATATGTATTCTACAGGATATGGCTGTCTTCTGGTAGGTCCTTATGTGCTCTTTAATATCATAATCTTTCTGATACTTTAAGATTAAATTCAAAGCTGAGAAACTGCAAGGTTGCTAACATCATCCTCTGATGGCTAATAACCTAATTTCTGATCTAAATTTAGTTGTGGTAAGTTTACTGAGTTGTTGCTCAGTATGCTTTTGTTCTGGTTGGTGTTTATGCTACACATTTATAGACAGCAATCCTGTAGTCTTTCAGCTTTTATTTTGATAAATTTAGAAGGTAAATTCTTACAGTTTTCTTTATTTAAAGTTGTTCCCCAGTCTTCCTGTTTCCTGAAAAAGCTTTTTCTTAACTCAGCTTGTGTTACTCTTTCTTACATAAGGAAAAATTATTCCTGTTGATGTTTCAAGAGGATCTTGTTTAAGGGAAGTAATAATTCACCATCTGAACAAAAAGATACTTCTTCCTTTTTTCTTGCGTTCGTCTTGTTGATGCCAATAGTGGACTGATAGGTCTAATTCCTCCTTCTTTTTTATCACTTCCAACTAATAAGCCCCTGGTTTATAGCTGAAATCTCAATAGTCCCAACAAAGTGACTGCATTTCAGACTTGATTTCATCTGTCTTCTGTTACTTCAGTACTTGTAAGACTCACGGTTTCAGAATCCTTTCCATTAATAGCAATTTCGGTGCTGGATGACATCTGTTTTGTGTGTTTGCAGTTTATTATGTAATGAATGTTATGTTCCTTTTAAGAGTGTGGCTGAGCATATGAGAATATTGCTGTTTTCTCTGTCCTGGCTGCTGCACTGAGTCATGTGGAACCTTCTGGGGAATGGTGGTTGCTGCGTGCCTTGGGGAGTGTGTTTGGGGCTTTCCCTGAGGGTAGTGTAGAGCAGGTGGAATGGATGTGAGATACCAGCAGGCTGTGGTGCTCCTGCAGCACAGGCAGAGGGTGAGAAGAGTAGGGAGCAGAAGTACATCTTGGAGAAGATGGAAAGAAAACCTTTTCCTAAGGATTGAAGGGGACTGTGTAGAGTTTTGCTGCAACTTGGGAAGCTGTTGAGCTACTTGCTTGAGAGCAGGCCTGAAAGAAATGATCTGCCCTTCCCGACATGCTAGCCTGTTAAATTTAGGAATTCTTGTTACCATATTCATGGCTTTTCAGAAATACCCTCCTTGTATTTATCTCTAGCATGAGTACACTGAGCTCTTTCAAGAAATAACAGCTGAATTTTCAGTACCTGTCTTTATCCTAAGCCTGTCTGGCCTAGAAGCGATGATCTTTTCCTTTTTTCTTTGATAATTTTGTCACTGAGGATTACATTCACAATTTACAATTAATGTCCTTTTTTTATTGTTAATTCTTTCAGTTAGGTCTGGAGCCTTTTCTATAAAGTCTTCTGTTGAATTGGGATGCAGACTCTAGATAATTTTACATGTATAAATAGGTTCCAAATTCTCTGTGACCGTCTTTGATCTTTCTAGTTTCATTTCCTCTCTAAACTGATGAAGAACTGAGTTGCAGATAACTTCATCAGATATTTACAGTTGCCAGTGGTAATGAAATTACTAGCACTGGCACAGAGATATGAGTTGGTAGAAACTTCTTTCTTGATGGCAAAGTTCTTCTACACAGAAATTCTATCCCCTAACCTAAATATGCTTTAACTTGCCAATTGCAGCAGACTTAGAGTTCAGTTTTCTCTTACTTGGTCACAAGCCCTGAAAAAATAGTTTCCATGGCCTTTGATTTTTCTGAGTGTAAGGAAAAATTTGACCATCCGTTAGATGCTATCAAGATATTTTGACCATGATTCTGCAGGAAACCTGTTCTTGATAAAACTGTTGGGAAGGTGCATAGCAGGTGTATACTGGGGTTCCCTTCTTTATTCTTTGCCTGTGAAGACTCCAGTGATTGCTAGATCTTCTAAAGGACAGAGCAGTCATTAAATCCAACTCGTAATTTGCATGGTGTCTTCTGGAATTTTGTCCTAGAGCTCATAGCTGTCTACCTAGAATGTACAGCATTTATATGCCTAGGTGGGAGTCCAGAGTCCAAGAACTGATAAACAATAATGTAATGATAGTTTTCTAACAGATAGCAATGAGTTAGGAAATCTCTGCCACGTGAAGGAAACCATTTGATGGTAGACTTAGTGTGAGTCACATCAGTGACTCTGCCTACAGATCATTTCAACCTTTCAGTAAAGCAGATGGTTTTAAGAAAGTCGTAAGTATTGCATCAAAATCTTCAACTTGCCTAGAACTGGGGATGCACACATAGATCTGACTGCTCAAAGCAGGAACAAAAGAACCTGGCATTAGTAATTCTGAGATGACAGGGTATTCAGTAGAGTCGTTCTCAAATGTGAAGGTGAAAACTCTGCTTTGGAAGCTTGTCCCTCTGCCCTTTAACAGGGTTATAGCTTGGGATTGCTTTCTATTATTCTCTGAACATCAGGATGGATATGTATTTTTTTTGGTGATGCTTGTAATACATTTCTGAGGGCGCTGGTGATAGACTATAGCGACAGTTCTAGCATAAACCTAATGTTTCTGTTGGTCAGCTATGCTGATCCTTTCAGTTTTTCATTATCTCGTGTCTTTTACCTGGTGGAAGCAAAAAAAGCTTCAGGTTCTGCACTGTTGATGTTTTGTTATCATCTCTTCCATAGTTCAGGTTCAGGCATCTGCTTTCAGGCTAATCACAGTGGAGGGTGAAGAGTGGCTTCCATCTCAGTATCACATATTTTGTATCTGTATCTTGACCGAAATAGTTGGGTTTTGTTTATTTCTCCATCTATAAAATCTTTCTTTGGTTGGCACCTAATGATTACCACTTCCTAAATTTTTTTGTCCTCCTTCCTGCTGATTAGTTTTGTTCCTTACTGTTACTATTTTAAACAAGTTGCACGGTTATGGTTTCCAATAATGAATTGGCATTAGTTTGTTCAAGCACCCCATCTTCAGTTAGTTTTCCATAGCTTATGCTTTACTTCTCAAAATGATCACTCAGTGGATATATTTAATAGTAATTTTTACAATATAGTTTATAGATTGGTCAGTCTCATGCTAAAAGATAAATTGGTCAATAAGTCAAATTGCCAAATTGGTGCTGTTGTCAATAGGTGTTTTCATATTCTTTGACATAAATTGGATTTTCTCAGCTATGCAGTGTATCAGAATTTTGACTAATTTATCTGTTTACAGAGTTAATTAAAATGAAAAATTAAGAAAATATCTTCCAGCTTCTGGCTAACAGCATATTTTCTCCTTTCATTTTATCTTAACCACTGGGAGCAATCTGCTGTCAGTATTGGAAAACTCCCAATGACGCTTTTTGTCTTTATAAGGCCTTTATTGAGCATTGCAAGGGCATTCCTGCTTAAGCCCTTAAGATTATCACCCTGGAATGAACAAGGTCAGAATCCTCTTCAAATTCTCTTTAGGCTGACATCGTAGTATAAGCCTTTGGCACATGGGTTTTGCATTTCTAGTTGGTTTTAAATACTACGCATTCTGTAGAAGGATGTTTTATTCAGCTAGCGAACACCTATCCCATCTCTACTGCTTTGGTGAAGAACAGACAAGAAACCTGTGGTCAGTCTATGTAA